AAAAAAAGCGATTTCTGAAAATAATCTGAAATGGCAGGGTCCTACTGTGTTATAACCTAATCCAATTCTTCACCAATGTCAAGTTGCATTTGAATCATTAATTATTTTCTAAAATGCTGCATGTTTTATATTACATTAAGAAATTGTAAATCATTCCACTGTCAGTATAAACATGATTTTAAAGTAAGTCTCTTACTTTTATTATTTGATTGTTTGCCAAATGTATTCGAATGTTAAAAGTAGCTACAGAGAAGCAAACACAACTGTGCCCTTTTTAACCCTTCCTACCATCTGTTCTTGTCAGTCTTGATTGAACTTATTTTTAATTTGTGTTGTTGTCTTCTCCAGTGAATAAACAATATTCACTGAGCTTACTGTTTTATGAGGTAACTTAGTAATATGTGTGGTAAATTTTTCTTTCTTTTTCTTTCTTTCTTTCTTTCTTTCTTTCTATCTTTCTTTCTTTCTTTCTCTCTCTCTCTCTCTCTCTCTCTCTTTCTTTCTTTCTTTCTGCCATCCATCTTATATATGTGACTCTGGGTGGCCTTCAAAACAAAAATAAGCATGCAAACATTACAACAAATAAAACTGCACTATACAGTCAGCTGGAGACCACAGTCAATTCATGTACAAGATAGCCATTTTATATTGTATATATTTCTGGAAGGCCAGCAAGGTGGGGGCCAGTCTGACCTCCGTGAGAATGATATTCCATAGGGCAGGTAAACCATTATGAGTGCAGTCTTGTTGATTTGCTCTTTCTCTAACCTTAGCTGTCCTCAGACCTCCTAGTTTTCCCTTTCCATATCTCAGAGAAACAAACAGTTGTGACTTTTGTCAGGGAAAGAGGTCCAAAGAAAATATTGTTTCTGGGCATGCTCAAAAGCAGCATCTAAAGAAAAGGTCATATATTGTTTCTTCTAATTCCAAACTGAGTTTGAGAAGATTATAAATCTTATATTCCCATCTGTATTTTTTCTTAGTCACTCCCATGCTGATGTCTCTTGTGGGGAACATAAGAAGTTGCCTTATTGTAGTTCAGACCATTGCTCTATCATATTGCAGTGTCTAAAACAGTGTTTTTCAAACTTGGCAACTTTTAAGTTGCATGGACTTCAACTCCCAGAATTCCCTAGTCACCATGTTGCTAAGTTTGGAAAATAATGTTCTAGAGCCACTAGAATGGTTCATCAACCATAGCACGGTATTTCCAAGCTTTATTGGAGATGCCAGGAGTTGTCTGCAGGATTATGTGCTGGAGCTTTTCATCTTTGTAATGGAAATGTATCTTTTTTCCTTTTTTTGATTTTATTTTAATTGAGGAGAAAACTGTGCCTTTTTCTGCTTTGCATTTTTTTTAGATTTCTTAGAAAATCTCTAGAGAACATCCAAATGTTTCTTGGAAAATTGATAAAGTAATAACTTTAAGTGTAATTCTCTCTCTGACAATGCATACAGATAATGCATATCTACTTATGTATGTGATTACATTTTGAAAGATTGCATTATACATCTGGGAGAAAGGGAATGGACCACAACTCACGCCGGTGCCTGAATTCTGTACAGAAGACTTCAACTCTCCTCATGATGCTCACTGTGCCACTACATTCACTAATTTCCTCCCACAATGTGTAAGTACTTCCTGATTGCGTCTCCCTATAAAGAATATAGAGAAAGTATGCTATTCTATTCCATATGTATCTTGTTAAAATGTTTCAAATTGAGAACTAGGCGTGTATAAATAATTTGGTAAAATTGAAGGAAGAAGAAATGAAAAAGAAATGCGTCTATTTATACTGAAATTTGTCACTGGTTCGGTACAAATAGAGGGCATGACCAAATTTTACTCTTCTGCTGTAAAAATAAAGGAACAGTAAAAGGGACATTTCCACACTTCAGGATGAATCTGTTTTAGCATGCAACTTGCAACTTCTATCCATCCAGCAATTGTGACTTAACTAAATAGGTAATGTTACCCCTTCCTTTTGCTCACACCTCAACCTAGTATCTCACACCTCAACATCTCTCTCTTTCTCTCTATGTCTCTGTCTTTGTCTTTCTCTCTCCCTCTCTCTCCATTATTGGCTTCGGCACAAAGAAAATGCCTGATAACAAAGGTAACTTTTCAGAAAACATAATTAAAAATGGGAGTGGGAAACACTACCAATCTATTTTTTTATAGTCAGTTTCATCATCGTTTCTTGATTTCCCTTGTAATCTTGCAAGGAAACCTATCTGATTTATTTTTCCAATCTATTCCAAAGTTGACATTTGCTTTTAAGGGGAGTCATTTTCCTAAATAGGCTAGAAAACTGCAGAATTTATTTTCTTAGATTCTCGGTACTTTTGTGCACACATACAAATAGGATTGGGGTTTTTTTCCCTCAAGACATTTGAAAGGTCTCCTTGATCCACTATATCTAAATGCCATTTCATGCAAAGAAGGAGAAAAAGCAGTTTGAAACCTTCACTGTTTGTTAATACTGCAACCTTGTCTTCTGTATTAAAATGAACCTCTTGTATGATTTTTTTATAAACCTAGCATTTTGAGTTAAATAATAACAGCAAATTTAGAGCCAGATCCTGTATGCACTTACTTACAATGTCATCTACTTCTGTTTTGCATGGAGAAAGAAGAGAAGAGGCATTGCAGAGTAGAAAGGCAGGGGGGGGGGGTCAGTTGCAAGATGTCATCCATCTTAGGGGTTTGTTGGTTCGTGCCTTCAGGTCAGTTTTTTATTCCTGGTATTTGCCTGGTCTAGTCCTTACAGTTTTCTTGCAAGGATTTTCAGAAGTGCCCTTCCCTTCTACCCAAGGCTGAGAGAGTGACTGGCACAGGGTCACCCAGCTGGCCTCCTGCTGAACATGAGATTAGAATTCATAGTTTCTGGATTTCTAGACTGATACTTTAACAACTACATCAAACTGACTTGTCTCAGGTTTAACGTGTCCCATTGTACTGAACCACATTTTTTTCATTAATTAAAAAAAATGGTTATTACATTTTACCTATTAATATTTTTTTAATGGGAAAACATAGGATTGGGAAACAACAGGCAGACAATCCATTTTCTTTAAGCCTTATCCATAATCCCTTTGTTGTGATTTGCAACATAGAGCTAATATTTCTGGGATCTGAAATATGGCAATAGCAATGCTATCATGTGATAGAAAGAACTATAAAATTATTTGTGTATAAAAGGTTTAGAATGTTCAAAGCTGGTATTATAATATTCACCAGTGAGCTTAGATATTTTTCTTTCAATCTGTTTTTCAATTGCTTCTGACTCTTGGTGATTCAGTGATCATTGCTGGACAGGACTGTGGGTCAGTAACTGCTTCTTTGTGTTCTTGTAAGGTCATACTTGTGTTATGTAACCACCTTATCGTTGGTTGGCTTCTTGTCCAGTGCTTTTGATTTGTCCAAACAGTAGAATCTTTTCCAATGACTCTTGCTGTTACATTATGTATCCAAAAATAGTTGATGGTTAGGCACATTATTAGTGCTTGCTTTTAGCAGTCTGGTTTGCTTCATCTAATTCTGAGTGATTAGTTCTTATTCCAGTTTTCTCCAGCACCACAATTCAAAGGAATCATTTTCTTTGTTAAGCCTTTCCAGTGGTCCACTTTTCACAGCCATCTATAATAACTAATAGCAACAACCTTGACAACATGTAACTTGGATGTCAGTGGCAAGTAGTTTGTATTTTAGTGTGTTGTATAGGTTTGTCATAATCTTTCACCAAATAGTTACCTCCTGTTTCATGACTAAAGTGACTAATCTTGTGAATTTTTCAGCTTGGGAAGAAAAGGTCTTCCTTTTCTTGTACTTACAGAACTTCAACTTTTTCTCCACTGATTTACAGAGAAATAAAGGCTGCCATTATCTATTGACATACTGTAATTTTAGCCATAGGAGGAGGAGAATTGTGATTAAGGAATTTGATTAAAAAGCATCTGATGAAGTAAGCTGCATTCAAGAAAGCTTTTAAATAAAATGCATTTGTCAGAAAAAGTACTATCAGACCTCTGAATTTCTGACATAATTTTAGTTCTTGTTAACATTGAGCAGCAGATAGGCTTTTTCACTTTCTTCATTTTCAACAAGGGATTCCTTAAGTCTACCTTGCTTCTACCATCAAAATATATCATGAACATATCTGAGGTAACAGTTGCCCCAAACAATTTTACAGTAATTTCAAATATTATTTCTTTTATTCCTGCATTTCTCATGATATATAAATAAAATAAAGTGACAATAGACAATCCTGATGCACTTTGTGCCAATGTTGAATCATTTAGTTGCTCCATATTCCATTCTGTTATTTTTGGTTATCATACAAATTGTTCAAAAGGCAGATGGGATGTTTTTAAAAGATAGCCATAACTTGTTGTGTGGCCTACATAGTCAAAAAAAATGAGACATTTTTAGAACTCCCTTGCCTTTTCCATTATTCATTAGATGCAGTAAAATGATGTCAAGGGCTCCTGACCCTTCTAAATCCAGCTGGTACATCCGGCAGTTCTCTTTCCATGAGTTGTTGAAGTTGGATTGCAAAATTCTGTGCATTGTTTTTTTTGTGTGTGTGAGATAACTGCAATTACTTGGTAATCTGAACTTTCTTAACTTATTTTGCAAACTTATTAACTTTCATTTAAGTTTTCATAATAAAGCCATACAGGTAGTCCTTGCTTATTGACCATTCATTCAGCAATCATTCAAAGTTATGACAGTGCTGAAAAAATAATCAATGGGATTCAACCAAATTTATCTTTGGCTAGGTCCATTTTCATTCACTGCTGTAATTACTGTTGTTTTTTTCATATTTATCACTAGTCATGACTGCAATCTGAATTTCTATTATAGTTTAGGTGGCAAATGCTGCCAGGCAACATTTGATTATTTAAATTGTTTACATTTTCAGATATAGAAATGTATTTTTTAATATTTTGTGGAGAATGGAATTGCCTTCTGTAGCTCTTGTCTTAAAAATGAATTCATAATTATCAATCTAAATGGAAAATTACATAAATTGAAAAAATATATGTGGATGGCATTTTATTTTTAGGGTGATCCTGTGAAGAAAACGGATATCTTTATTGCTGTAAAAACATGCAGGAAATTCCATGGAGACAGAAGTAAGTTCTGGATTTAAGAGTATATTTTTTCTGAAGCTGTTTATATTAATAATAATAATAATAATAATAATAATAATAATAATAATAATAATAATAATAATAATAATAATAATAATAATAATAATAATAATAATAAAGTTGGAAGGGACCTTGGAGGTCATCTAGTCCAACCCCCTGCTCAGGCAGGAAACCCTATACCATTTCGGACAAATGGCCGTCCAGACTCTTCTTAAAAGCTTCCAGTGTTGGAGCATTCACCACTTCTGGAGGCAGGTTGTTCCACTGGTTAATTGTTCTCACTGTCAGGAAGTTTCTTCTTAGTTCTAGGTTGATTCTCTCTTTCATTAGTTTCCATTCGTTGCTTCTTGTAACATATTGAGCCTTTTTGTTTAGCATATTCCCTTTTTGAACTTTTCAGATATAGGAGAAAATCATTTGTGTGAAAATGAGTCAGAAAAGAAGAAATTGAAATTTGCATTGAAAATATAAATCCACAGTTTTCAAAATGAAACATATCTGGTTCCTTTAGCTTCTCAAGAAAAGATGGGGATATAAATCTAACAAATCAATGAAATATTTATTTATTAAATATGCGCATATGACATTTTATTTATTTATTTAATTTATTTGCCGCCCGTCTCTCTATCACACAACTCTGGGCAGCTATTGGAGAGTTTTCTTTTTTTGGATGCAGAAGACTGAGAATCTACGTATTCCTAAAAACCAAAGTAATGAATTGACCCCAATTTCACTCAAATAATTTTTGTAATTATATGATTCTTATTGACATTTTTGATGAAAGCCAATAACAGTCTATCACTAATAATGGGCAATAGGAGAAATTATTAACCACAGATGCTATATTTTAGTTGAAATATATTTTAATGTATATATAGGGAAATGAATAAAACCTTTACATACAATCCCAAAGATGCTTTTCAAAAGGCAACTGGACTTTCTTGGTTTTTTTTTTCCTTTAAAATGTTTCGTTTCTCATCCAAGAAGCTTCTTTACTTCAGAACTGAAGAAGATTCTTGGATGAGAAGTGAAACATTTTCAAGGAAAAAAACCCAATGAAGTCCAGTTGCCTTTTGAAAAGCACCTCTAGGACAACCATGACCTGGATGATTGAGAATCTCCATAGACACTGTTGCACACAATATTGTGTTTTATAAACATATTATCTAAATGTTAAATATTTAATTTTAACCAGAGTTTTGTTGGAAGTGAAGATTTTGGCCTACATGAAGCATCCGTGGTTGCTTCTTTCTCTTCTAATTACAGCTCTTTGGAGCATGAAGAATTTTCCTTTCATCTTATCTGTCCTCTGTTTTTTGCATCCCTTCTATGTCAAATAGTGACTTGTTTGGTAGCCTCTATTGTAAATTAATCTAGTGTCCTTGTTTGAAGGAAATTGCCTTCAGCGTTTTTCTCTGCTTTCAAATCACAACAAAGATGTATTGATCCTATTGTCTCTATAAACTGTTTTATCAGTGTGATATATACAGATGATAAATGAGCTTCAGACATTACTTTTATTCTCTGATAGTCTTTTAGGGTGATGAGGGAATTTATTTTCTCAGTACCCAATTATTTCACTCATCACTTGTTTTAATTATAGCAAAGTCAATTTTTTCAGACTATACTTTCTGAGAATATTTCTTAAGGCTCTCTTTAATTTTCTGTGGTCCACTCATGCTACTGCTACAAAGCTATGCTAGATCAAGAGAATTAAGGAGGACACAAAATGGTGACCAGAATATTACTAATTGCTGTAGCCACTTAAGAAGAGCAAAAAAGTTATGCTGTTGCAAATATCTAATGCTCATTCCTGTGATTTGCAGTTTCAAAAAAGGTTCTATTAAAATGAATCCACATACCATTTCACATATTACTGCTGCTTTTTTTAAACTTATCTCTTTCTGAAGAAATCCAACCACAGTTTTATGCTCTTTGCATACCTCACAACCTTTCACCTTCATGTATTCTCACCCCTGCTTTACTTCCATCACATGCATCACAGTCCTCAGCTGCATAATCATGCATACTATTCCATAATTCAGTTCTATTCATTGTGTCATATGCTTTCTCCAGATCAACACCCAATAAACCTTTTTTTAATAATTTTTGAAAAGCAAAAATATGGCATACGCATTCTCTCCCCTGACTTAAAGCATGTTGAATTTCCCAGTTCATGAACAACCACATCCATATTTTAATACTACTACAGCCACCAGCATTTTCATAGTATTTATGCCTTCCTTTTCATCCTTTTTTTCTTTGATGCTAACATTTAAAACATTAATTTCACACTGAGATTATTTTCTAATCTCAGGATTACTTTGCAAGTCAATATACTGTGACTGCTGTATCCCACCAATTAGGACAGCAGTTTCAAATTCATGTCATTATGGTGCTGCATAAGAACTATTGCAAACACATAAGCTGTCTATGACTATGATACCATCTAAAAGGATACAGTACTAAACTGAACATGAAGACATGACAATGTATTCTAAATGAGTATTATTTCCAAATGGTCATTTTGCTTCTTCTGCTTGTATCTTCATTTTTTTTTAAACTCAGTACCTATTGTGAAGCAAACCTGGGAAGGAGAAACCAATTTCATTGAATATTACAGTGATTATGCAGAAAGTTCAATACCTACTGTTGACATAGGAGTACCAAATACTGAAAGAGGTGGGTTTTAATATGATATTTCTTTCATGTGTAGTAACAACTATTCCATATGAATGTCTGTAACAAGGAAATGCTTTTGCTAATTTGGCTCTGATACTTAAGATGCAAAAGGTGGCATCAGTTCCTTTGCCTTCTATCGTTTGGGGTTGGGCTGAGCAGGAATGGTTAAATATTGGAGCAGAGCCTCCATAGACTAGAGTTTGTCTACATCACAGCAAGGAAAGGCAATCATATTGAAGTTTTCCACGTTAGTTTTCATTTATTTTTCTGCCTGTGGGGGCCAGCATAGGCATGGCAATGAGGTTAAATGTTCAGCCCATTTTTGAGAATTTGTACACTCTAATTGCAGCAAACAAAAACACTGTCCCAAGTCAGCATTTTTATGAATGAATTATAGCAGAATGATCTGTGCTGCAGAGTAGATGGCCAACCCTCTTTTTAAATTGCTGTATTACATTAAGGGTAGCCAGCCAAGCAGAATCTGTCTCCAGAATCTTAGTCCTGTTTTTTATGTTCTAATTAATTGTTACTAAGCTGATTGACCCATACTGTAACAGGACATACCTGAATATATATCCAAACACTTACTTAATACCTATTTCCCAGGTTTTTTTTTCTTTTGTTACTTTCTAGGTCATTGTGGAAAGACTTTTGCCATTTTGGAAAGATTTTTAAATCATAGTCCTGCTAAAATGCCTTGGTTAGTCATTGTGGATGATGATACCTTGATAAGGTAAAAATTTCAGAATCAAATTAAATTGAATTATACTAGTATCTGTTGTTGTTGTTGTTATTATTGTTGTTGTTGTCATGCCGATGTAACTTGCCGGATTGCAGATTCCAGATGAAACATTAAGATTCAGTATGCAATGAAATTTTTGGAATATTAGACAACAAATCCAAACAAAACAAACTAAAAACATCTCCCAAATGTTAAATTTATTACTGGATATTTGAGCACATTGTGGCATAAAATCAAATTAGTATCTAGAAAGATGGCAATTTTGAAATATTGCTCTAGCATTTGAATTTATGAAGCTATATGGCGGAAAATGTACAAATAAATGAGATGACATTGGTTGCCCAAACCAAGAAGCTTTCCTCTAGCTCACTCAAGTAATTTCTCTCTTGGTCATGCACTAAGCACTCAGCATGTTTGAGCCCATCTCTGGAATTGGCAGATTGACTATTTACTCCTGGATGCAGCTTAGTCTCCTTGCCACATTATCCTCTGTTACCATGGGGGAGAGATTGATATAGTTGGTTTATTATGCTCATTTTCATCTTTGGGTCACACAGGCTGACAAGCAGGAATGCTTACTTGTCACCTAAGGGCTTCAGAAAGTTTTTAAGAAGAGATTGGACAATGATTTATCTGAAATGGTATAGGGTTTCCTGCCTAAATAGGGGGTTGGAATAGAAGATCTCCAAGGTCCCTTCCAACTCTGTTATCCTGTGGTACATTACCAAGTTCTGACATTCTCGAAGTCCAGTTTCCAGAACTCTTTTTTGGGGGGATGGATTGAACCTGTTACGCATATCACTTTGCTTAAGAGATTTATTGCAAAAACAATAGTACAAGAATGCTATTCTTCATTAGCCCAACTGGAAAATCTATATTAATATCAAATTTCATTTTTCACTAGAAAGAATACAATTTGCAGGACAACTAAATCTTTATGAAGGGATGAACCATGACAAATTTTACTAAAAATGATGGAGCTTTCAAGCTATGTTCCTTTAAAATCTGACTTACTATTTGTGCACAGAATGCAATGAAGTCTTTTATGCTAGGAGACCATATGATGGGGAGAAAGCATGCCAGATTTCAAACAGATGGGTTAAGGGAGATTATGCAGAGGAAGAAGTGTTCATAAGGAATTATGTGTGTATTTCTAGATACAGTAGAGGTGATTTATAGTTTTGGCTGGTTTTTATCTTAAAATAACTAAGTTTTTAGAGAGGTCAAGTAGCTCCCAAAGCATTTTCACGCAACCATGTAGACAAAAAGACTGGATAATACTGAAATGCTGCAAATGATAGAGCTCTCTTTCAATCCCAAAGATTTTTCCAGCTCCCACAGTTCTGTGATTGCAGCAGCCAAAGGTGGCCATTCTGATTTAATCACACACTTACAGTATTTTACCTCCATCACCTACATTGTCATTATGTCTTATCTAAGTAATAGAAACATCTTTTTCTTTTGGCATACCTGCTCATCAGCTTTTCTAAGATATCAGCAGTCTGGTGAAACTAATCAAGACTGTTCATGTAAGCCCAGAACAGATGTCTATTCAGATCTATTTACTATTGTCTGGTGAAACAATCTCTGTTCCAAAATATTCTACTCCAGCGTCATCTGAGCTTTGACAAATCTAATGTACAACCATAGTAACTATGTAAGTACATTTGGAAGTTGGGTTCAAAGTTGGGTTCAAAGTTCAAAGCAAGCAGATTTTTACAAAAGCAGATTTTAAAAACAATTTTATCCTTTATGCCCACAAACTTTTCCAAATATTTGAAGATTTTCCTGAACAGCATGGACTCTGGTATTAGAGCCTGTTGGACAGAATCAATGACTTCTATATTTTTGGTTCAAATTGCTTTTTCCATGTATGAATGCAGCTTATTTTGATTCTGGCAAACTGCCTTGAAAAATGTTGGCAAGTATCAGGTTTGTGGCTTCCTCAGATGTCCTGATAGTGAGTTTGTGGTGCTCTCTGAGTTTGGTTGTTTTCTTGCAGACATTTCATTCCCAAATTAGGTAATATAATCAGTACAAGCTCAGAGAACAGCAAAACCTCACAGTTCAATTCAGAGAAACAAGTATTCTCTTCCATTGATAATATCCTGATTATAGTATTAAAAATTTAAATCATGCAACATGAGGAATTTAAAGCCTGGCATATATGCTTTAAAATACATTTTCCAATTAATACAACAGGAAAAAATAATCTCTCTTTCCTGTGTTCTCACATGCTGAAGTAACCAAATACTGTAATGAATGGAAGGAAATCTGACATGTTTAAAACCCTGTTATATTTGTTAAACTGAAGATTCAACGCTGCATCTAATAATTGTATCTTATACAAAATAAGCATGACTTAAAAAGGAGAAATTTACCAGAAGGTATGCCTAATTTTCCATGAAATTCTACAGTGGCTGTAGATGTAAAATGTAATTCATTTTCAGTACTGAGAATTATTTTTACATAGTCTACATAATATAATATTATTTATTTATTTAATATATATATGCCGGATGTCTCACTATCTAAAGCAAATATGAAAATGTCAACATCATTGTACCACATTTTAAAAATTAATGTTCACAACATTTCAAGAGAAAAGTCTTCACATAATTTGATTATATTCTTTTTGAATAACTACATTTGGAGAAGCACTAAGGAGCAATTCTTGCATTAGGAACATAGAAAAGAGAGTACATACAGTATTTATGGCAACAAAACAGGCCATATGATGTGAAAAGTTCTCAGTTTCAGATTTCAGAATTTTTTTGAACTAGTGACGAGAGTGGCCTGCTTCTGAAAAATCTTTTCCAGCATCCAGGTCTTGCAGCAATAGTCTAATATTTACTGGTGTGGAAGTGAATTAAGTGATGCCAGACAGACAGAACATTAGAAGAAATCCATTTGGGCATGCTTTTTTTTGGTATTTGGAATATACAGCTTTTGCTGATCTATGATAGCTTATATTTCATGTACCATATTGGCAACAGAATCACTGGAAAGTTAATCACACAGCCAGCACTTCTGCATAAGTAATTAAAATGTCACCGTTTGATGCCAAATATCCGTGTGTACATCACACTGGAATATAAATGTAATTATATCATAAAAATTCACCCAGATCTCTTTTCTGCATAATTTAAAAGCTAGTCTATATTACTAGAACAGAGTGATTAAATTAAAAGTAAAACTACCCACTCGGTATTTATCTTGGTACATATATTTTACCTATTGAAAAATGCAATATAGTATATATTCCCAAAATTAATATCCCACCAACTTCCAAAGACTTCTAAAAGTTATCATAAATAATAATTCAAAGCAATAATTAAACATTTCAAAATTGACATCAAATGCTAGCATTAAAGAGCAATGTTAAAAATTACTTTATGCAGCAAGATATTCAGCCCCCAAACTCTATAAGGAACAGCAGTGCATTTGCCACTGTCCAAGGCACAAGCAATATGAATTTTTGCCAATAGCCAAAATTTAAAAAGATCTGCTTCTGTGTCTGTGGAGATTCTCAGTTATCCAGGTCATAATTGTCTCAAAGGTGCTTTTTCAAAAGGCAACTGGACTGTTTTTTTCCTTGAGGAAAAAGAAGAAGAAGAAGCTTCATCAATTATCATGCTGGTGGGGGGGATGGAAGGATTGTATTTCTTTGCGATCATCTGGTCATTAGCACTTTCCCTGAAAACCCATGAGGCCACTTGGGGGTTATTTTTGCCCTCAGGGTCACTTGAATCAGTGCAATTAGTTGCGGAATTTTCTTGGAACTGCTGCAAAAGCTGCGTTGTAGACTGGAGATGGGGCGCTCAGTGTTAATATAAATGGCCTCTTTTGCTCCTCTTTCGAACCAGTGATCCTCTTTATCCAAAATGTGAACTCTGCTGTCTTAAGGAAAGTGACCTTTGTCTTTCAAATGCAGATGGACTGCTGAATCTTGTCCTGCTGGGTTTGATCTCCTATGTTGTGCCATGTGCTTGTGAAGTAGTTCGCGTCTGCTTTTGTGCTTCCCTCCATCCAAGCGCAGGCACTTGTAGCATCCCTATCCAAGTGGGCGAAACAGGATAGGCAGATTCCCTTCAGAGGAGACAGTCCCATAAAAAATATACAATTTCATTTTATTTATTTATTAATCAAATTTATATACATACCCATCTCACCAAAGGCGATTCAGGGCAGTGCACAACAATAAATAAAACAACCAGTATAAAACATTAAAATATTTTTAAAGATCACAGTAATAAATAAAAACAAAGACTCTAACCATGGCCAAAGCAGGATAAAAATGACCTCCATTATAAGTTAATATCAGCACTTTGAAACTTGACTTGAACTTGGAAACAAAACCACTGAAATATTCCTAAAGTGTCAATTTGATTCATGGCATTTTGGAGCAACTATAGTTTCCAGGTTGTTTTCATAGACAGCCCTAAGTGGCACATTCATCATCATAGTCCCGCCTTGAGATAATAAAAGCAGGAGTAACTGTCATTAAGTCTTCTGCTCTGAGAAGTGCTGCATCTGGCAGACCAGCCAAAACTGGCCAACTGTTGCTCCAGAAGAATTATAAGTTCAGGAGGAACCTAGAAGCCATGGACCTGCCTCTCAGGAGGAGAATGATCGCATCCAGAAGTGAATAAGAGCTGCCAGCAAAACCAAAGATTACTATGAAATACCATATGGGAGCTCCCTAATTTTCTGAGTATAATAGCTCATGGATATGGGTGATCAGTGCTGAAAAATCTTTATTCTGTAATTAGAAAACCAAGATTTGGATATAATCCTTTGTGAAAAGGGCAAATGTTGAAATGTGTATCATGAATTTACAATGGAAATACTGCAAATCAGGTACTTGCATCAAATGACAGGCCACGTAAGAGTTGTGATCATGAAATCATCAAAACAAATATTTATTGCAATCACTGATCAGCACACATCATCACCATCTTGAGTTGTTGCAGACAACACTGAATTTTGTCATTTTTCCTGGTGGGGTTGTAATTGTAGAAATAAGTTAAATGATGCAGCCTGATACATAAGTTTCATAAAAATAACTTTTGCTTTAGAATATTAAAATTAGGAGGGAATAAGGTTATAGGTTTTTATATTGAAAAAAAGACCCAAACAGAACAACAGAAAAACTTATTCTTTTTACAGTAATATTTGATGATTGTATAGATTTTTTTAGAAGCAAAGAGATTTTTTTTAAAGTAACTAGTGAAAATGTTTTAAATATTCAAAAGATATTCTCTTAAATATTCTGTTTCAGCAATGTACATGTGCTTGCTTAAGCTGATAGCTTCAGGGTTTGGGATTTTTAAAAAGTAATTAAATATATTAGATGGTATTTCACAATGTGATTTTGTTCTAGCATCTCTAGGCTCCAGAAATTACTCAGTTGTTATGACTCAAGTGAGCCAGTGGTTCTCGGGGAACGCTATGGCTATGGTTTAGGATCAGGAGGCTATAGTTACATTACTGGTGGAGGAGGGTAAGTCATTTAAATTATACAAAGGAGTAAAGAAACATCAGAGCAATAACTTAGTTTTCAACAGCTTTCATGATGGATAGATTTCTTCACATATCAGACTCTGCCACTATGAATGAGATTTTTATAGTCCTGTTGTCATAGAATTTTTACAAGAATGAGAAATATAAAAGTGTCCTAACTTTGTAAGTAGCAGTATGATAACTTACTGTACCATTTCAATAGACAAATAAGCATAGCAAAAAGAAATTCAAAGCACTGTGAGTACAATTAGAAATAATTTCTGATTTATCAAAGCCGTATACTTGATACCTTGTTGTATCGTGATAGGTATTGTTTTTTTCAGTTGAGTTGTATTTGGAAGTGGTATATGATTGAGCATCTAATTTGTCAATAATCCCAAAACAGATTTCTACTATCAATCACAACTAATGGTAAAGTTAAATGACATCCATTAAGTTATGTTGATATTACTAGAGACATGGAAGAACGTATAGCATTATGATTTCATTAGGAGACCAGTGCAGTAGTAATCTGTTTGCAATGACTGTTACAAACTCATAATTGCTGTTAGTACATAAAACGTTTTATTCAGTAATAATGCTTATCTTCTTGATTATTATTCTTTTTGGACTTGTCTTAAAAGGATGGTCTTCAACAGAGAAGCAATCCAAAAATTGTTTGCTAGTAAATGCCGCTGCTACAGCAATGATGCCCCTGATGATATGGTAATTGGAATGTGTTTCAGTGGTTTAGGAATTCCAGTTACACACAGCCCTCTCTTCCATCAGGTGAGTGTTGTTACGTGTAACTAAGTATCTCATGGTTAATATTAGGTCAGTTTCCATAAAACCTAATTAAAATGATACAACAGATGTGAAATATGTTACAAAAGCATTCCTGCTTTTTCCTAGATTCTTTACTAGGAAATAGGGATGCAAGGGCATTTCAAAATATAAATAGAAGGATGGAACTTTGGCAATAAAGTACAGAACATACATTATTAATAGGATATTAAAAAATGCCCCTTTTTGGACTACACAAATTAAATTCTTCCAGAATAATAAAGTGGAAACAGGTGAACATACAGTGAATATCCTAGTGTTTCAAATCATGCTTATTTTCATAAATATATTAATATTTATCAATATATGTCAATATACAGTATGTCAAGTCTGGCTTTCATACAAAAACCAACTAGAGCATCTTCTCACAACACAAATGTCAAAACATTACAAGATGTGTTTAGATAATTTAAAAATAAAATTCAGGAGAGATTAATTTTTTTCTTGTAGTTTTAACCACAGATTTTGTGGTCTTCAATTTCTACATGTAGCTGCACAATTTTCTTCCCTAAGTCGTGTTTTATCATCATTCAAACAAATGTAATTTCCAAAACATAATGTCTAGCTTTTTAAGATACGCTGATCATCACCAAATTTATCTAGAATCCTTTTGTAATAGTAACATGAAAGCAGTAGAAAATGCTAAGAAGGGGGATTATATGAAAAATGGACTCCTAGAGTTTCAGTGAAACATGAATATCATTTAAAGACTCATGTAACTAGTATAACTTTTGAAAAATAAGTTGAAATGTGAGGAAGTGATCATATGATTATATTGATATCAGAAGTATTTAGTGGGTGGGGCAACTTTCTGTTTCAAATATNAATAATAATAATAATAATAATAATAATAATAATAATAATAATAATAATAATAATAATAATAATAATAATAATAGTAAAGTTGGAAGGGACCTTGAAGGTCACCTAGTCCAACCCCCTGCTCAGGCAGGAAACCCTATACCATTTCGGACAAATGGCTGTCCAGTCTCTTCTTAAAAACTTCCAGTGTTGGAGCATTCACTAGTCCAATACTATTTCAGAATCCACTTAAATACTCTAATTTTTGGTAAGTATATAATTAATGCTTTGGGATGATCTTATTACTGCAACTGTTGGGTAAACAATTCAGATTATGAAATTAAGATATTGTTACCTCTTAAGCTTTTATTTCAATCAGTCCTCTAATTATGCAGCAAGTAAAACAAATTATTATCCTGAAATGCTTAACTTCAGATAAAGAAATGCTGGTGTTATCCAAAGTCATCCAGTTTTTCATCTATCCAGCCTTCTGGTACAATATAGCCTCGAAGAAGCATAAATCCCCACAATAATTTTAAACTTCTGGAGAGTCATAAGGCAAAATGTATGAATCTTAATATGAAAGCAGAATAAAAATTGATTAAATAATAAATTAAAATATAAAAGAAATTAGGCAGAGGAAATTCTATAATTCCAGGTCACAAACATCAATTTTGCATATTATTAATGTTTCAGTAGGAGCAACTTTCCAGGGACGCTAACAGATTTTTTTTTCATATTGTATTTAACTCTTGGAAAAAAGAAGTACCCTGAGATACCACACACTGAATTGCAAAATAGTTTCATTATAAAATAAATATGAAAGTTTAAGACAGAGCATAAATAATATTTGCATGTTGAAAATTAAGAAGATAGATTCTCAGCATTTTTCCAGTGCAAGCACAATTCTTAAAATATATAGTCCATTTATTTATTTATTATTCTTATTTCTTGGGATTTAGTTTAACATTTAAATTTCAAATGGAGAAGGCAAAACAGATGAGGAAGCAAAATGTATCTTCAAGTTACCTTCTTATACAAGTAGCTGATCAAAACTAATACCTTCTTGTGTTCTTTAAAAATTCTCTTTAATTTATTGTGGAAGCAAAAGGCAATTATCATGTATAAGCTTGTTTGCTTCTGTTTAAATATTTCATTAATATGCATTGTTACGTTATGAGACAGTGAAAAAACAAATGCTGTTGTGGTTCTGAGAATGTACTCATGAACAAATGGTTTTGAATTGCCATATTCAATTAGCCAGATCCTTAATAGACTTTCCATATTCCCAAGATCTCAATATATTTGTTTGGTGTAAAGTACAATATATCTTATGGGCTATCCAGTACCATAGTTTTCATGGCAGACAGATTGTAGAATTTGGAGACAAAAAAGCATTTTATATCTATTACATCATCTAAACAAGAAGATAATATTCTTAAGTGCATAATTTAAGTCCATACTTTAATAAGGGGGACTAATAAAAATGCTCATTTTTAATTTATATTGCTTCAAAGGCCAGAAGCTATGTTCTTCTGTTAATTTTACTATTCTACTTTCTCAGGTCTAAACTTCCATTCTCTTAAATAACACAGTATTTTGAACTTACTGGAAACAATATGCTTAGCTTTTTTATTTTATTTCAGAGTATAATCTTTTGTTGACAGAAGAACAATTTGTTTTATCCATTATTGGTTATCAGATAATGGGATTTAGTAATGCTTCTTCTAAAAAGAATAAATACAGCTTTGTTTACCATATACACAACAGTTACATTAGCTCTTTGCAGCCATTCAAATTGTATATGCAGTGTTTCATTGGAATAATAATAGCCCAGCCTCACTGCCATATTAGATTCATCTTGTCACAAAGAGCTACATGTGTAAAGGTCAATGTGAACAGATTTTCTACAAAGACACCATACATTCCTGTTGTGCTTATCATGTCATCAACTTCACAAGGCTGTGTCTGTATCTGATTTGAGAATACATAATCTTTGCTTTTTTATATAATTGAAAAAAATATTTTATAAGTATGCAACTCATTCTCTCTTTTACTTCAATTCTAGGCTCGCCCAATGGATTATCCGAAGGACTTCCTATCCCATCAAGTTCCAATATCATTTCATAAACACTGGAATGTTGATCCAGTAAAGATTTATTTTACATGGTTGGCTCCAAATGTACAAGATTTGGAATATGGAAGCAAACATGTCAGAGAGGATTTATAATCTGTGAAAATATTTATAAATATTGTTATGGTCTTAATATTTAGAATGTAGATAAAATTTTATTGCTCTATTTATAATTATTTGTTGCCCATATTATACAAGACAATATGGGCACAATCCAGTACCACTTTTTGGCACAGTATGCTGCTTTCTTCCTTTTGGACTACTATAATTTATATCCCATAATTAAAACTACTGTTTAGGGATATAGTGTCTGTGCCCAAGGCAATTAACCTCTCCACTGCCACATTGTGCATTACTTTGTGTAGGTACTAATGAAGGATGGCTTGGAAACAAGTGTATATTAAATCTTGTGAGTGTAGACCACACACAATCCACAGTTGTTACTAGACCATGCTCTGAATATTGCTGCTCTAAATCAAATGGATGCAAACTTTTATTTGTGCACTTATTCTTTTTTATTGGCCTTAAAGTTTTAAAATTAATGCTTCTGTCCTAAAATTTTGTAATAGTTATCACCTATTAGATGCTAAGATCTTTTGCCAATTCATCAACATTATTTTGCTTCCCCCAAAAAAGATACATTTTGAAGGAAAAAAATACAATACCACCTTCACATACACATTTCATCTCATGTAATCATTTTGCAATTATTTAAAATAGGAACAGCAGAATAGGATAAAATGTTTGCCCAAAATCAGAGTAAAAAATATTGTCCTCATTTTGTTTCCTCATCTAGCAAAGTTTCACTGCCGTGTGACAATAACACTGCATTCCATTTCCCATAAGAACTTTAATTGCTTGGAATCAATTCAAGAAGCAGCCGTTACTGGCAAGGATTGCACATGCTTCAAAAATGGTTTGGAAGAAATTTCACCTTCACAGCAGCTCTGTTTATTTATTTATTTTTTGATACTCATTAAAACAGCCCCTTTTTTCAAGCTTCTGTGCAAGTCTGCATCTACTTTAAGAGTCTTTGCATTTTGCTTGCCCAAACATCCAAAGCACTTCTGCCGAATCATTTTTAAAAGCACACAGCATTACTGTTTCTTCATTTTTTCCCTTCTAACAGCACTGAAATAGTAATGGAACAAACAAACTGCGGTGAATCAAAAGGTAAATTAGGGTAATTTTGTGAAGCATCTAATCTACCATCATCTCAGACTCCCTTCCTTCCTAAAAAACATACGAGCAAAATTCATTGCAGCCTTAATAAAAACAATTGTATTCAGCACACTATCCTATCCTAACTTTTCTAATAAAATTTCTTCCATCAAAGATAGTTAAAGATATAAATCAATATTGCTTGCTATATTGTAACCAGATAAAAATTCTTAAAGCGGTATTGTAGTTTTGTGTTTTTTTAGTAGCACAAAGCATTGTGGTCCAAAGTACTGTCATTCTTAGACCATTGGCCAATTTGGAAAAAAATACTTATTTAACCAAAATCAATAAAGCAGTATACATTTACTATGAATGTAGCCTGGATTTTTTTTTTTTAAAGTATTCAATGGTCCTACTCAAAATGGATTGAATTGACGTGTTTGAATTAAAGGAGTCACTGTCTTCTATCGTTTCTGTATTTCCTTCTCTCAGTGCCTTAAACAATGGATACATCTGCTGATTCAGATCTATGCTTTTTGTACTGAATGGGATGGATTATTATTTATGTTTACTGTGTGAAATAAAACAAATGATTTAAAATAGAATAATATATTGTACTGTCACTTTTTGTCAACAGAGCAGGAGTTGAGAATTTAAGAAGATTCCCAAATTACTAGGAAGAGTGCTACCCCATTCATAACTAAAGATCAAACATCAGCAAATCCAGGCAGCCTAAAATCAATAGCTACTCAGTCTTCTCAGGAATAAGCTGAAGTCTATTCTTCCCCAGACTCACACAATTTCAAGGGAAAGAATTATGACGCAAGCATTTGGTTTGACATGGAGAAGAAGTATATAACACCTTTGGGAAGATGCTTCTAACATTCACATGATGAATGCGTGACCAAACAAACTGAATAAATAAGAAAAATCTTTCCTGTAATCTAAAATCATATGCCACGCCCTTCTCTATCCTTCATTTTTGGCATGTTCTTTATTATGGCTTCTTCCCCTCCTCCTCTCAACTACTGACACTGGAGCATCTGTTCCTTCCAGTTATCTTGCTGCCCCCCCCCCAAAAAAAGTTGCACTGACTCCATGGATTTCCATACACAGAACATATGCAGATGACACTCAGCTTTGTATCTCTACCCTGGGCCCTGTAAGTGATGCTGTGAACATCTTATCCCAGTATCTGGAAGCTTTTGGGACTGGATGGGGCCAAACAGACTCAGACTCAATGTCTATAGAGATTCTCAATTATCCAGGCATACATTTCTTATATGAGTAAGCATCAAAATTATGCTTTCATTCTAACTTCTTCCAATGTATCTGCAACCTTCTATTTGGATTGTTGCAACATGCTGTACATGGAGCTGCCCTTGAAGAGCATTCAGAAGCTGCAATGCAGAATACAACAGCATCGGCAGTTTTCAACATCTTTCACTGTGACCATATAACACTTTTGCTCCATAAATTACACAGGTTCCCCAGGGGCAACATAGGACCTGGCTACTAGCAACATAGGACCTGGCTACTAGCAGGACTGCCTTTCTTCCACTGTTTCCACTCACCCCACCAGATCTACTACAGAGGGCAAGCTCCAGGTCTCCTTTTGTAAACAATTTCATCTTGTTGGACCCAGGAGTTGTGTCCTCTATGGCAGCCCCTGCCTTATGGAACAGCATCTCATAGAGAGGTCCTGACCTCCCGCCTGGACTACTGTAATGCTCTCTACATGGGGCTCCCCTTGAGGAGCACCCGGAGGCTTCAACTGGTCCAGAATGCGGCCGCGCGGGCGGTGTTGGGAGGGACTCGTCGCTCCCATGTAACGCCGCTGCTGCGCGAGCTGCACTGGTTGCCGGTGGCCTTCCGGGTGCGCTTCAAGGTGTTGGTTATCATCT